GAGCGCTTCGAGCTCTTCTTTGCGAGCGAGCGCAAGGTTGAGAAGGCGGCAGGTTCTTCAAGACTTTGGCTGCGGACTGCGGGCCGAGGCCTTCCAAGACAACCGCATCCAGCTAGCACGGCTGCAGGTCGCCCGGGCCCGGGAAGAGAACCCCAATCTCACTTAAAAAGTTCATCAGCGCCGCGAAGTATGCCATTCGCTCCCCTCCTGATTTTGAGTGCAGCTCCACACTTTGCCCCGCACCATCTTGCGTTCCCACTGAGGTGAATCAGCTTGTCTGAGCCTCTGGTGGTTGGCTTCAGACCCAAACCAATTCTCCAAACTTCGTGTTCGCAGAGGGTACGAGATGCCAACACGGAAGGGCAATGATGGAGGGCCAGAAAGGCTATGCGCGTGATATAACCAGCGCACACGTCAGCCAAAGCCAGCGCAAGTTGCCCGAGTTCCTGCAAGAGGCCCTTGATTGGCAGGCCGCGCGCGAGCCATCCAGGCTGGAGACTGAGTGGGCCTTACACTGTCGCGCAGCAGACCCGTGTCTGCGATCGCTGGCCTGCTTGTGGCTTCGCGCAAGCGGCGTGTCAGTTTATCAAGCCAACCGCCCGTTGTTGTTGCTGGACTCGGTGGAGCTGGCGGCCGCCTTGTGGGCCATGATCATCACCTCACGGCCTTCCAAGACTACGCAGTTGCTCCTTCATCGTCGGCCGAAGCAACTCTCTGCCCCTGATGCAAGCTTTCCAGATTCCTGGGAGGTCCCAACAAAGCTCACCCTTGCTGTTGATGTAGGCCGGCCCGAGGCAGCAAGCCACCAGAGGCCAGGGTTTGGGCCCAGGAAAGTTCTTGCTCTTGTGTTTCCAGATTGTCTCCCCCACGAAAGAAAGCAGCGTTCATACCATCAAAAAGCAGGTTGGCCCCAGCTGCTCGCGTGTACGAGTCGCTTTGGGGTGCTTGATGTGGCAGCTTGACATCGCGTCAACGCAGCGGGAGCCGGCAGGCGTCATGCGCCGCCCTTGCAATCACACCACATGCAAGCTTAAACTTAAACATTGTGTGTGGCTGACCGAAACTGGAGCCAGTGGTAGTGCGGGGGGGCAGTCCAATGTTCCAACTTGCGACACGCTACGAGACAAGTTTGTTGTTTTATGCCTGTGCCAGTAGACCTCCTGCGCGCATGGCTTTGCAGCAGAGAGGCCGCAAACTGCCCTTGTCTCCCTGAACCAACTGCCAGCCCACATCACCCGTCAGAGCATATGTGCCTGGCTTCTGCCCCAGGTCTTGTAGGCTTTGGAAAGCCTGCCAGCCCCGGCACGGGCCTCAAGATTCCTCCTGATGCCGGCCTTTCCTGCACGCCTTCTCCGTTGGCCAGGCTTGCGCGCTAGTTGCTGCTTGCCTTGCAATGCTGTGATTTGCTTCTATGTTCAAAAAATGAAGCGATCAACTCCGTGGCAGGGGATCGAAAGAAGAGATGCTCGAGCACGCGCTGAATTGGGTGAAGAAAACATGTGGTGCGTGGAACAATGTAGTTCTTTTTTTGGAACCCACCATGTATGTGTATATATCTATATGTGTATAATATACATATTGTGTATATATGAATATGTATACATCCAAAAGGAAATCAACAACTAGGCGGTGCCCATACTTTGTACCCAGGGCTCACAGACGAGAAGGCTTCATGCTGATCAATTGTGATGTTAGGTGGTAGACTGTCACTCGGAGGTAGGAAGAGGAAAAAGCTTGGAAGTACCAACATTCTGCAAGTTGGTTTGGTCTCGTTTTGTGGTCCAGTTTGGGCCAACACTGACCGGCGTCGGTTTATGGCTGGTTGGTCAGTTTCAACCCTGCGGTTGTGAAATTGCAAGTGGCAACCGCCGACAATCCATCAATGTACAACTGACCCTGAGTTGCGACAGGCGCAGCGCAGTCGCGATTGACAGCTGTGGAACACGAGAGAGGCTAGGATTGCTTTCTCCCAGAGGCGTCTCGCATGGTCTACACGCTTGTTTCCGCGCCAAAATCCGCGCGTAGCTTCAAAACCCGCCAACATAGACGGAGAAAGGAAGAGGCTGTATTGCGCAGACCCGCTGGCGTGACGCGGTTGTCGGCCACACCCCCTGCTATGTGCTCTTACTGCGCAAAGGCACCGGGGATGTCCTCCCCAGACCCTCGGCCCTTTTGTTGTTCGTGAGCTGGGCGGCAATGACTATGTCCGGTTGGCCCAGCAAACGTTGGTCAGCTTACGTTCACGTGAGCTAGAATAATCTGCATTCCATGCGAGTGCCATATGAAAGACATACCCAGCCCGTGTCAGACAGAATCCTCTTCAAAAAGAAGTTGGCATACTTGTGCTTCCGTGGACGCATGTCACAAGGGTGGCGCCTTGGTGACTTCTGCAGATGTTCTGTCAGTCTGACGCATGAGCCTTGCTGTGGAAGGTCAGGGCGTGCTTCCAGCTTCCACGGACGGCGGGCGTCTCGTACAGTCTCCTTGTATTTGGTAGGTC